ATTTCAGTTTTCTTAAATTTACTGAGGCTTGATTTGTGACCCAGTACAAGTACTATCCTGGAGCATATTCCATGATGACTTGAGAAGAAAGTGTATTCTGTTGTTTTTGGATGGAGTGTTCTATAAATATCAATTAAGTCCATCTTGTTTAATGTATCATTTAAAGTTTGTGTTTCCCTTATTCATTTTCATTTTGGATGATCTGTCCATTGGTGAAAGTGGGGTGTTAAAGTCCCCTACTATGAATGCGTTACTGTCGATTTCCCCTTTTATGGCTGTTAGCATTTGCGTTATGTACTGAGGTGCTCCTCTGTTGGGTGCATAAATATTTACTATTGTTATATCTTCTTCTTGGATCGATCCCTTGATCATTATGTAGTGTCCTTCTTTGTCTCTTGTAATAGTCTTTATTTTAAAGTCTATTTTGTCTGATATGAGAATGGCTACTCCAGCTTTCTTTTGATTTCCATTTGAATGGAATATCTTTTTTCATCACCTCACTTTCAGTCTGAATGTGTCCCTGGGCCTGACGTGGGTCTCTTGTAGCCAGCATATATATGGGTGTTGTTTTTGTATCCATTCAGCCAGTCTATGTCTTTTGGTTGGAGCATTTAATCCATTTACATTTACAGTAATTATCGATATGTATGTTCCTATTACCATTTTCTTAGTTGTTTTGGGCTTGTTATTGTAGGTCTTTTCCTTCTCTTGTGTTTCCTGCCTAGAGAAGTTCCTTTAGCATTTGTCATAAAGCTGGTTTGGTGGTGCTGAATTCTTTTAGCTTTTGCTTGTCTGTAAAAGTTTTAATTTCTCTGTCAAATCTGAATGAGATCCTTGCTGGGTAGAGTAATCTTGGTTGTAGATTTTTTCCCCTTCATTACTGTAAATATGTCCTGCCACTCCCTTCTGGCTTGCAGTGTTTCTGCTGAAAGATCAGCTGTTAACCTTATGGGGATTCCCTTAGATGTTATTTGTTGTTTTTCCCTTGCTGACTTTTAATATTTTTTCTTTGTATTTAATTTTTGATAGTTTGATTAATATGTATCTTGGCATGTTTCTCCTTTGATTTATCCTGTATGGGACTCTCCTTGCTTCCTGGTCTTTAACTATTTCAGTTCCCGTATTAGGGAAGTTTTCAACTATAATCTCTTCAAATATTTTCTCAGTCCCTTTCATTTTCTCTTCTTCTTCTGGGACCCCTACAATTAGAATATTGGTGCGTTTAATTTTGTCCCAGAGGTCTCTGAGACTGTCCTCAATTCTTTTCATTCTTTTTTCTTTATTCTGCTCTGCTGTAGTTATTTCCACTATTTTATCTACCACTTATCCGTTTTTCTGCCTCAGTTATTCTGCTATTGATCCCTTCTAGAGAATTTTTAATTTCATTTTTTGTGTTGTTTATCACTGTTTGTTTGCTCTCTAGGTCTTCTGGGTTCTTGTTAATCATTTCTTGTATTTTCTCCATTCTATTTCCAAGATTTTGTATCATCTTTACTATCATTATTCTGAATTCTTTTTCAGGTAGCCTGCCTATTTCCTCTTAATTTGTTAAGTCTGGTGGGTTTTTGCCTTGCTCCTTCATTTGCTGTGTTTCTCTGTCTTCTCATTTTGGTTAACTTACTGTGTTTGGGGTCTCCTTTTGCAGGCTGCAGGTTCATAGTTCCTGTTGTTTTTGGCGTTTGTCCCCAGTGGCTAAGGTTGGTTCAGTGGTTTGTGTAAGCTTCCGGGTGGAGGTGACTAGTGCCTGTGTTCTGGTGGATGAGGCTGGATCTTGTCTTTCTGGTGGGCAGGTCCATGACTGGTGGTGTGTTTTGGCATGTCTGTGGCCTTATTATGATTTTAGGTGGCCTCTCAGCTAATGGATTGGGTTGTGTTCCTTTCTTGCTAGGTGTTTGGCGTAGGGTGTCCAGCACTGTAGCTTGCGGTCGTTGAGTGGAGCTGGGTCTTGGTGTTAAGATGGAGATCTCTGGGAGATTTTTGCCGTTTGATATTACGTGGAGCTGGGAGGTCTCTTGTGGACCAATGTCCTGACCTTGGCTCTCCCACCTCAGAGGCACAGCCCTGATGTCTGGCTGGAGCACCAGAAGCCTGTCATCCACACGGCTCATAATAAAAGGGAGACAAAACAGAAAGAAAGAAAGAAGATAAAATATAATAAAATGAAATTTAAAAGTTATTAAAATAAAAAATAAGTATTAAAAACATTTTTAAAGTAATTTAAAAAAAGAAAGAAAGAAGGCGGAGAGCAACCAAACCAAAAAAACAAATCCACCAATGATAACAAGCGCTAAAAACTATACTTAAAAAAAAAAAAACGGACAGACAGAGCCCTAGGACAAATGGTAAAAGCAAAGCTATACGGACATAATCACACACAGAAGCATACACAGACACATTCACAAAAAGAGAAAAAGGGAAAAATATATATACATTTTTGCTCCCAATGTCCACCTCCTCAATTTGGGATGATTCATTGTGTATTCAGTTATTCCATAGATGCAGGGCACATCAAGTTGATTGTGGGGATATAATCCGCTGCTCCTGAGGCTGCTGGGAGAGATTTTCCTTTCTCTTCTTTGTTCTCACAGCTCTTGGGTTTCAGCTTTGGATTTGCCCCGCCTCTGCGTGTTGGTCGCCTGAGGGTGTCTGTTCCCCGCCCAGACAGGACTGGGTTAAAGTAGCAGCTAATTAGGGGGCTCTGGCTCACTTAGGCTGGGGGGAGGGAGGGACACGGATGCGGGGCGAGACTGCGGTGGCAGAGGCCGGCGTGACGTTGCAACAGCCTGAGGTGCGCCGTGCGTTCTCCTGGGGAAATTGTCCCTGGATCACGGGACCCTGGCAGTGGTGGGCTGCACAGGCTCCCAGGAGGGGCGGTGTAGATAGTGACCTGTGCTCGCACACAGGCTTCTTGGTGGCAGCAGCAGCGGCCTTAGCATCTCATGCCCGTCTCCGGGGTCCGCGCTGATAGCTGCGGCTCGCATCCGTCTTGAGCTCCTTTAAGCTGTGCTCTTAATCCCCTCTCCTCGCGCACCAGGAAATAGAGAGGCAAGAAAAAGTCTCTTGCCTCTTTGGCTAGTCCTGACTTTTTCCCGGACTTCCTCCCGGCTAGCCGTGGGCACTAGCCCCTTCAGGCTCTGTTCACACCGCCAGTCCTCTCCCTGCGCTCCTACCGAAGCCCGAGCCTCAGCTCCCAGCCCTCGCCCACCCCGGCGGCTGAGCAGACAAGCCTCTCGGGCTGGTGAGTGCTGGTCGGCACCTATCCCCTGTGCGGGAATCTCTCCGCTTTGCCCTCTGCACCCCTGTTGCTGCACTCTCCTCCGTGGCTCCGAAGCTTCCCCCCTCCACCACACGCAGTCACCGCCCACAAAGGGGCTTCCTAGTGTGTGGAAACCTTTCCTCCTTCACAGCTCCCTCCCACTGGTGCAGGTCCCACCCCTATTCTTTTGTCGCTGTTTTTATCTTTTTTCTTTTGCCCTACCCAGGTACGTGGGGAGTTTCTTGCCTTTTGGGAGGTCTGAGGTCTTCTGCCAGCATTCAGTAGGTGTCCTGTAGGAGTTGTTTTACATGTAGATGTATTTCTGATGTACTTGTGGGGAGTAAGGTGATCTCCACGTCTTAGTCTTCCACCATCTTGAAGCTCCCTCCCACATATTTTTAATGGTTAATATATTTTCTTTCTTTTTTTAAAAAACCATAGTTACTGGGCTGTGTATTACATTTCCCAATCTTATTTATCTTACAACTGGAAGTTTTTACCTTTTGACCACCTTCACCCATTTTGCTCCCTGCCCCCTGCCCTCTGGTGACCAACAATCTGCTCTCTGTATCTATGAGTTCAGCTTTTTTTTGTTTTTTTGTTTGGATTCCACATATAAGTGAAATCATATGGTATTTGTCTTTCTCTGTCTGACTTATTTCACTTAGCACAATGCTCTCAAGGTCCTTCCCTGTTGTAAATGGCAGGATTTTCTTCCTTTTTTATGGCTGAATACTATTCCATTGTGTTCCAATGTGTATTCTATTGTATGTATACACACACACACACACACACACACACACACACACACACACACACCACATTTTGTTTAACCATCGACTGGCAGACACATTGTTACCATATTTTTGCTATTGTGAATAATGTTGCTATGAGCAATGGGATGCAGATCTGTTTTTCAGATAGTGATATATCTTCTTTAATTATTCTTTGGTTTTCCAAATTTAATTTAATGAGATTATGTTACTTTGGTAAAGGAACAGAATTTTTCCCAACATTCTATCATGCAAATTTTCAAACATACAGAAATGTTGAAGAACTACAAAATGAAAACCTGTCTACTATTAACATTTTACTGAGCTTGTGTCATCACCACCCATCTATCATTTATCTATCTATCTATGTTACCTAATATCTGTCTATCCATTCATCCATCCACCCATCCTCAATCCATCTGTCAATACATCGTATTTTTTGATGTATTTCAAAGTAAATAGTACATTTCCCACTAATACTTCAGTAAGCATGTCACTAACTAGAGTTCAATATTTGTTTACTGTTTGATTCTTTTGAAGCAAAATTTACATAGTATGAAATGCACAAATGTTAAGGGTACTTTTGCTGAGGTTTGATGAACATGTTCACCAGTAAACCCAAATCCCTATCAAGATAGAGAACATTGCCAGCACTCCAGAAAGGTCACCATGCCCCTTCCCAGTCCATTCCTGGTCCCACCACAACAAAGGTAACCACTATTCCGAATTTTTCTACCATAAAGTATTTTGCCTGTTCTAGAATTTCACATCCAAGACTGGCCATGTGGGGTTCTAGGCTTAGAAGTCTGTGGAAGGCTGCCCTCTGCCAGAGCTAAGCTGATACCCTCTCTGTCTCTGTCTTTATGTCTGTTTCTGTCTCTCTCTTTTGAGAGATAAACCTTCAGAACCTTTAGAAGTGAACTGACAGCTGCCTGCAAACGTCATGCCCTTAAATTTTTTATATTTTGCAGAAAAAGGAGCGTGAACTTACACTAAATAAATCAACAAATGCTTATACTACTGGGAAGATGACCCACCCCCCAAACATCCCAAAGGAGCAGACCCCTTCAGGGACCTCAAATGCCTCTTCAGCCTCAGTAAAACCTGAAGACAAGACTTCTGAAAACAAAAAGACTTACAACAGCATCAGCAAGATAGACAAAATGTCCCGAATTATATTCCCAGTCCTGTTTGGCACTTTCAACCTAGTTTACTGGGCAACATATCTGAATAGGGAGCCAGTGATTAAAGGGGCTACCTCTCCAAAATGAGCTGCCATGCTCCCAAACTCCAAGACAGTCATACGTTCAGTGACGGGCACCAAGGAGAGGTTGAGCTTGGGGGACCTCCCTTTTTTGGGCACTATCTTTCAGGAAATTTTTGCATGTTTAATAATATGTACAAATAATATTGCCTTGATGTTTCTATATATAATGTCAGATGTTTCAAAGATGTCACATTGATAAATCAAGCCACTTTCTAGAAAAACAGGAGACAATGGCTCTGATACTCAGATGCTCAGTATCTTACATTGATAGTTTACAAACAAGTATATTTTTAACTGTTCCAAGTGTTACCTAACAATGTTTTTTATACTTTGAATGTCATTTCATACAAATTTTCCCAGCAAATAAATATTTTAGGAAATACTCCATGATTACTACTTGACCAACTCTCACAAGAAACAAATATCACAAAGAGCACATTTTTCATTGAAAAAGAACCTGTGGGCATTTATGTACAAAACTAATTGCCTTTGATAATTCTTACTGTTCTGAAATTAAAAGTACTGCATGATCTTATGTTAAGAAATAGAATAAACAAATATTTATGCAGACATTTAATAACAGAAATATATGATATGTTAGATTAACAGATACAATGTTTCCCCAAGGAAAAATTTAACTGCTTAAAAATAGTTTTTGTGGGGGAGGTGGGAATGAAACTTACTTCTCTCCCTCCGACTCCCCCCACTAACTGAACAATGACCAAGAAAGAAAAGATCTTAAAACAAAAAGTAGTGTGATGACAGTCTTGGCATTTGGCCTGAGCATCCACTGTCTGAAACACTGACCACACCTCACTGCAGACAGTGTGTAGTGCTTCAGTGGTGAGAAATTGTAAATGAGTTATTTTCCATTTTATTTCCCTGTATGTTATTTCATGATTGACTTATTGCTCTGTTAGCTTTTGTATATGAACCTTAAATGTTCATTAAAAAATAAACTGATCTTGTGGATAAATGTCATATTTTGAAAAATATTTCATATTTTGGTGGGTGGATTGACTCATTTTCTAAAAATTATGTAAAGGAAACCCATCATGAAATTGCTTGGGAAAAAGTGTCTCACTTGGCTGCTCACCTCTGTTCCAATCTAATTCTTCTGGGTAGTATGTAGAGAAAAAGCTGACTTCAACCACAGTGAGGTGAATAGGTAGAATTGGAAGTTCTTTCCGTCTCATACATCTCCAGGGTGCGGTGCCCTACGGGTCTCTGCTTGATAGAGCTCTACCTGAAGGTGTTCCCAAGGTGGGTGCTTGCTGTGGGCAAAGTGACTACTCAGTTCTCCATGGCTTTCCTTTTTTTTTTTTTTTTTGGCAGTATGTGGGCCTCTCACTGTTGTGGCCTCTCCCATTGCGGAGCACAGGCTCTGGACGCGCAGGCTCAGTGGCCATGGCTCACTGCGGCATGTGGAATCTTCCCGGACCAGGGCAAGAACCCGTGTCCCCCGCATCGGCAGGTGGACTCTCAACCACTGCACCACCAGGGAAGCCCCATGGCTTTCCTTTTGCTGTTTGTAAAGAGTGATACAAAGAACTGCATGTGGACCAGCTACTTACTGTTAGAAGAAGTATCCAGGAACAACATGTATAAAAGGAACAGTTTCTGTCTCCTCTATGACTTGTAAAAGGGAAATTATGACCATTAGCAAATGGTATCAAAATTAAACCTGCCTAAATTGACTACTTCATGGTACCTAATTCTTAAAAACCCATCCACCTCACCATGTTTCGTGGACACAGACATGGTCATGGCCATGGACACACATATAGACAGATATTCAGAAGTCTTTCATCTTGAATAACCAGATAAATGCCTATAGCATCCATTCACTGAAAACTCCAAGTACTTATCCTGACAAGCCTTTTCACAGGATTCAAGATCAGGTATTACATTTTATCAGAGTAGTATGAGAGATGCACAGAACTACTACATTCTTCAAAAAGACTGGTGCCCATTTTTGGCATCCCTTGTTCATTAAATACACAGAGGTTCCATTGCCGCTACTCAGCCTCTCATAATAGAAAGGTAAAGGTCAACAAAAGGAGTGCTCTTAAAACTTCACACAAGAAGCATTTCTCTATTTCAAATGGTGCTATATTTGTAGAATGATGTTTGTGCTTTCCATTATACCACAGCATAAAATTGGCCAAAACCAAGGGCAGACATGAAGCTGACTATGAAGCTTCTGTTTTCATTTACTGTTTATTTTTATTTCTCTTACAGTCTTTACAGTTTAGCCTTGCATTGTAGTTTGGAGAAAAATATACTATAGGTTAGATCTAAAAGGCTACACATACATACAAATGCTCACTTTAAACATCTCAGTCCTAATGGGAAATGATATCTTCCATAGCAGGTTGCAATAATTTTCTTGACAAGTCCTAGCTTTTGTTACAGGAAACCCTGGAAGCCCTGCTAGGTGAATTCCAGTTTGAAGATCTAACTACTGCATTTACATGCTGCTCAGCCTTAAATCTGATGAATATTTAGTGGAAAAGGTCATATCAGTTGTCTGCTGATTTTGTATTATAGATATTTCAGTGTTTGTTATTTTTAATGAGGACATAATGAAGAATCACCTTGGGAAAAATGACAACAAGGCAAGGAATAAAATTTTTTGAAAATAATTATAAATTACAGTGCTCTACTTTTAGAACCAGAGTATTTAAATGTATCTCTTTTGACATCAACATAAATAGACAGAATATTCTAATAAGTCAGCAATCAGTATTACTTCTCTATTTCTCAGGAAGCGATGGGTCTATTTAGGGCAGACTATGGTGAAAGTTGACCTAAATGTTTATATGCAACAATTGGGTTCAGATATTTCGAGAGTAACTATCAAAGTTAAAATGATACAACACCCTGCATTGAATATTGACAAGGAAGTTGTAATCTTCTAATCTATTTGTTATGTTAATGCTTTAGGAATAATGCTGTATGTCTCCTTTGTGATAAGTTAGGGGAATTAGGTAAGGTAAATGAGAAATCTCTATTTTACAAATAAGGATATCAAAACCCAAAGAGGTTAATCTATTGGCTCAAATCATTAGGAGCAAATAGATTGCAGTTCTCATAGTTTCTAAATCTGGGTTCACAACCCCATGTAGTTTCTTCCAGATGGAAGATGATTTAGAACAAAAATGTAACCTAAAATGGAAAATCCTGCTTTAAGCACTGGCTGAATGATAAGAATGCCCTAGAGAACATTTTTTACACTGAAAACGTGACCTTTAAGTCTGTTCCTTCTTATATAAGATTTTTGTGCTTCTGTGATCCTAGAAACTCCTCTTGATAGAATGGACCTGTCACAGTAGCACTCTCCCCATCTGAGAGAGAGACAGAGAGAGAGAGAGAGAGAGGAGGGAGCAAGGATGCAGGGAGGGAAGAGAGAGAGAAGCACTGATTGACTAGAACCCAGTGTTTGGATGTGATTGCTCCTCTCAGAGCACCCATGTAAATGATTACGGTGACTGCAAGGAGCGGGGAGTCTACATCAAGGGGAAAGCATAACTACGATGGCACAGAGTCTTCAATCAATGTTAGCCTGTACTGTAAGAACTAGCTTCAAATCAAAAAGAACTTTTTTAAAAAAATTGGAAATGCCATAGTTCTCTCAGTGAAAACAGTAGTTTAAATATTTAAAAATTAGTCTTAATGTCTTTATTACAATACTAGCACATCTGGGACAATCAATGCCATGAGCAAACATGGTGAGGATTTGAATATGAATTACTACTCTGATCATTGCAATTACTTGCCAGGTTTGCAGTGATGTAAGGTAATGCTTTTGAAGTGTGCAAAATGGTTCATTTCATCAAAGATTTGCATGATTATCTGTTTGTCAATGTCATTTTCAATAGTCTATCTCAACTCCAATCTTAATGGGTCTGTAGTTTATTTTAAAATGAGCCTGGGTTCTTTATGGAAACTTGTGATTGAAAAATATTTACTGCTTAGAATTTCCCTAATATAAAATCTGAAAAAATGGGTTTCCCTTAGTTTTTTTGAGTTCAGATCGAAAGACAAGTAAAACCAAACATCAGATACTATATTTTGCAATGCATAGCCTTAAAAGGAAAATTTGAAATGAGGTTTAATTGACTCAATATAATTTAAGCCTAATTTATTATACATTCTTCATGTTGCTACCACTGTCTCCGTAGCAGCCAACACTATTCCAGGCCAGTGACAGGTGCTCAGTGAATGTAAATTGATGGAGGGAATGAATACCGGAAAGTGGGTGGCCTGGATGTGATGAAACCTCTTTGGGTAGGGGTGGTTGTATCCCACCCAAAGAAAATATGTCTTTAAGAGTTTATAAAATAAAAATTTCGGGATTTTTTACAAACGTATCCATATTTCACATAACAACATTGGGAACACACCCACACACGGCAACAACTGGCTTGGCCTGAGTAGCAGGCTGACCCTTTAGGTCAGTGGTCCCCAGCAATCTTGGCACCAGGGACCGGTTTCGTGGAAGACAATTCTTCCATGGACGTGGGGGGTGGGGCGTGGGAAGGTGGTTCAGGCTGTAATGCGAGCAATGGGAGGGATGGTTCAGGCGGTAATGCCAGCGCTGGTTCAGGCCATAATGCAAGTGATAGGCAGCAGCAGCAGATGAAGCTTCGCTCAATAGCCCGCCGCCGCTCACCTCTTGCTGTACGGCCCGGTACTGGTCCACGGCCCAGGGGTTGGGGACTCCTGCTTTAGGTAAAGTGGCCATATAATTTACTATTCAGAAATGAGACTGCTAGATGGTGGAGAGAGTACCTCAGTAAATCTTCTCCCCTCAAAAAGCAATGACAACTCTGGCAAGATTATCAAAAGCAACCATTTCAGAACTCTGGAAATTTAGATAAAGGCACACAACAAATTAAAAGTGTTTATTGAAGAAAACTACTGAGCCTCAATTAGAAAAGTGGGTCTATGACACTTTAGCTTAGGGATATTCCCATCTCCCTACCAGCTCCTTGGCATGGTCCCATAAAGACCAGCAGCTTTGCTGACACAAAGTGGGCTAACTTGATTTGGAACTCCAGAAAAAGCCCTGTCCCCAAGGCTTTGCCACGATTCGACCTGACTTGGAGCTCCAAGGAAAAGCTTTATTCCCAGGCCATTGTTGATAACAGAAGTCAGTAGCAGTCAGGGCAGGTAAATAGTATAGATTCCTAGGGCTGTGATATAATCTGGGGCTAAAAAGAGTCCAGCCAAAAATTTTAAAAGATAATGTAGGGACTCACATGTCCACAGTGAACTATGAAAACCTCTGACATATTCCTAGATCTGGAAAGCTGTGTGCATCTTCAGGGCTGTGTGAACAGTCAAGAATGAGCACAGAGAGCTATGCTGATACAGAAATGACACCTAGAAAGATGACTACAAATTAAACGAAATTGAAACAAACAGAGATTTTATACTCTAGGAAATACAAACACTACAGAACTGGTCCAGGAAAGTTACTAAACAACAACAAAAAATCTAACCTCCAGCAACAAAAAAAGTACAACAACAAACAGTAAGTAGGAAGGGAAGAATGACTGGATTTCAAAGTTACTGAAATATATGTCTAGTATGTCCAGTTTTCAACAAGTACTATGAGATATGCAAAGAAGCAGGGAAATATAGCCTATATACAGGAAACAAAACAATCCAAAGAAACTAACCTTGAGGATACTCAGATGTTCAACTTAGTAGGCAGACTTTAAATCAGCTTTTATAAATATGTTCAAAGAACTAAAGGACACCATGTTTAAAAAATTAAGGAAAAGTAGGACAACAATGTTTCACCAAATAGATAATAGCAATAAAGAGACAGAAATCACTTTTATTTTATTTATTTATTTATTTATTTGCGGTACGTGGGCCTCTCACTGCTGTGGCCTCTCCCGTTGCAGAGCACAGGCTCCGGATGTGCAGGCTCAGCGGCCATGGCTCACAGGCCTAGCCGC